TCTCCATTTCTGGCAACGACGTTGCCAGGAATTATAGACACGTGGCTGACAAAAGGAATTTTTCTCGCCATTAATTTATTTTCTCCGAACGTTCGAGGAAAACAACCATACGTATAATTCGTAAGCCATGATGGAAATGAATTTTTTCATGTGCCAGCACTCGGCGTCAAATATATATTTTATAAAAATAATTAAATTTAGACCGTAATAATACAGTTTCTAACAATTTTACTCCGTTATCAGCATTTCGGCGTTCTGTTTTTTATTTTTATTTACTTCATCATGACTTTCCGTTGCTGCGAAATATTATGATTATTCGCACTTGGGAGTTACGTCGCATGGCATACGTAAAAGCGACGACAGTTTTGAGTTATAATGTGACGAAACTTATGCACGGCCTAATTATGTATGTAATACCCCTAATTGTCTCGCTGTAAGGAATTGTTAGTTTGCTTGCTTCAAACGAGGCCGTACTCATTAACTTTTTATCTATGTAATCATCGGAATTTACCTTTGCGCCGTGGCACAACGGAAATGCGAATTCATTGGGGAAACCATTCATTAAAAAAAAAAAAAAAGACGCATGCCACTAATTACGTCGATATCTCATCAATTTGCACCGTTCCTAGAACACGATGTTCTCGTGTAACACATCGTCAAGAGTCTGATATAGCTACATAAGTTTTTCGAAAAAAATATCGAGATTACTTATATAAATAAAAATATAAATTTTATAATTTTTTTCGTAAATTCATAAAATATGAACTTACAGTAATCCAAAGCAGATAGACGTACCAAAATTCTTTTTCTTTTTTATTAAATTTATATGTACTTCCTTATACGTAATTCAAAACGTTCACGCTGACCCTCATATTTTCATTACTTTATTTTGCGGTCGAGAAAGAGCACATCATCGTATCTTCACACGAGCAAACGGTAATTATTACAATCATCCGACTGATCGGTCGAAAGATTAAAATTCCTGCGCCACCGAAGCGCGTTCTTGCGCGCTTATTTTCTGGCAAAAACGAAAACGGTTTCTTTCATTAAAGAGGCGGCGGAATCAAAAGTTTCTTCGTTAAAACGCGTATAAGACGCGTATCGGCCGATTGGTTACATTCGTACACAAACAACGTCTGTTTAATGCTAATTATTCGGCTACACGGAATATCCTGCACACGATGACTATTTCGAATGAAATAGCCGATTTCCTACAACGGTAACAAAGCGAAATTACTATTCCTGACTTATTTGCTTATTGTTAGAATTAGTGTCAAAGTTATTAACGGACAATGTTTTCATGTGTACAAAGATATTAAAAATTTATGTTAAGACACGTTTTATCCAATAGACGCAACTGACGTTTCGTGTGGAGTGTAAAGGAGAAAATTGCACGGAAGCTGATAAGCGCACTGCCAATAAGCGAACAGCGCAAAGTGCGGATTAGTTCGTTAAGGAATAACATTGTGGCTCTATTTTGCGCAGATATCCACACGCGCGATATAACTATGCAACGATAAGTTCATCGTGCAATTAAGTTTATTTATTAATCGGAACGTGAGAAATGAGAGTATACACATTGTTGTATTTTTAAATTAATATATATATATATATATAATTCTTAATCACGTGGATTTTGCGGAGGATTTTGATGACGGGGCAAAGTTGGGAATGGAGTTGGGGCGGAGGACAAAGAATCTAAGGAGTGTACAATATACAATACAAGTCACGGAATATCACGATTCTCGTGTTAAGAAGTTAAATCCGCTTTTATGACGCGTGCAGACCATGTCTGGGCCACTCGGTCTTCCTTTAATTTCTTTTTCGATTTTTTTTTAAGTGATCATTTTTTTATTGCTTTTTCTATTTTCTCGTCGATGATGCTCGCGTCGCTTCGAGCACAAGACCGTGCGTACGCTCCGAAGGAAGCCACGAAAATTATGCGAGGGATTGAGCAAATTCCCGAAGATTCAAGGGAATTGAGACGCGATTTCGATCGGGCGAAAGTCTTTGACTGTAGCTGTGTCTTAAAATTCCGAAAGACAACGGACTTGTCGATTATAATCAACAAACAATTAAATCGAATTAAATTGAAGGAGCAGATGGACGAAGAAAATATTTCGACATAATGACGACTCGTGACAGGTTTTAGCGTTAAGTTAAATTAAAATTCGCATTAATGTGATTTAATATTGTACATGGACTCTTTGTGTCCGCAAGCTAACTGCACTAAGAACCATCACAGCACTAAATTGATAATACATTTTACTTACTGATACGTATGATACAATAGAGAATAACATTTATCCATACAAATAACTTAACGTGCGTAAGAATGTGACAAGCCTTCTTCATCCACTTGCCTGTTCAATTGCATATCTGTACATATCGATCAGTTTCTACTACCGCACCGGAACATTGGCTCGTTTTCATACTGTACGTTTAGCGCTAAATATGGCATTTCCCAACTCACATTTGCATCGATTGAGTTTTTCATGTAAGTGAAATTCGAGACCGAGGGAACCATATTTAGCGCTGAATATAAACAAGTTGGAATAAAGTAAATATATGTACAACGTTCGCCAGTCATATCTGAACAGGATTCATTAAAATCAACACGCGTAAACGAATTGTGGGTTCTGCGTAATCAGTAACAAGTAAATAAAGTAATAAAGATCTATGGAAAATATTTATCTCGCCATCTTTAAAGGCGATTTTGTTATATCACTATGACAAAAGTTCCGATCAACATATTAATTAAATAAAAAATCTGTATGCCGTTCCGTTGACCAGATTATAGAATAGGCTTCTCGCTTAAAGTATGATGAACAATAATCGTCGGACCCGTTCGATAACACGATTTTAAAATGACCTCCGATTTTTGAACAATTCATTTTGAATGTCTCAAAAATTTCTCGTCGCGAATTTTGCACTGAGTCAAAGTGCCTGCCAATAGTGATTTTTACTTATGGAAGTCTTGGCCGACCGCAAAAGTTTAGAACAGCCGAACCGATTAGTTTCATCCGCGATAGTTATACTCACAGCTCTGCTCGATTATTGCTTTCAGATTTCAGAACACTTCGCTCCCTTGTAATCGATTCGGATGTATGTATATAGACATATCAATACAACGACGAGGCTAGTCCGCTTATAATGGGTATCGCAAAATGGAGCAAAGCTGATTAGGCCTTTCAAAAAAGTCGATGTGTGACATATATCTCTCGTTTTAGTCGATATATTCAAATATCATAGATGTTCAATAATCAAAATGTCATATCACATTCTATTTATGTTTTTGCATCCTGTTTCTATAAATCAAAATCAATGTCAATTATATATATTTAATATATGTATATTTAAAGTTAATACGCACTCCAAGAAATTTTAAATACTTTGATTCTTGATAAATATTATAGAAATATCAGCCATGTGAAATTGATTATTCCTATATGTTTTACTAAATAATATATATCATGATTCAACAGTATTCAATAGTAGTATTCGATATTGTATTTAACCGATTTATCTCATATAGTCGTTGAAGACTTACCTTTTTGCAATTATTGAACAACGGTAAGAAATTATTTGAAACGAGAGATCAACTTAGATGTTCCACTCGTGCCTTTCTCATTTTACGATACTCGACGCTACTGCGCAGGATCGAAAACGCGTAGGAAACGTAACAGCGATTAGTCGAATTACGATAAAATGGTTTAGAATACGAGTAAGAAGCCGATCATCGATTGCACAACGAGATGATCGATGTTAAACGCCAAGGTGCATTGCGTCAGGTAGCGAGTCGATCTTTCGATTGTCGCTGCGACCGTGCAACGTGCGGACGTGCAGCGCATTCGTATTATCGCAGTGCGTGCAAACGATAACGGCCTCCCATTCTCGGACATCACGGGAGAATCCCATTCTCGGAGACGTTCCTTTAAAAAAAAAAGAAAGAAAAAAAAACACGTTACGTTCTCCCGCGGACATTGCGCGATTTCGCCTTAATAAATCACCGTTATCTCCCATCCCGGACGTCAGGTTTTTCTCTTTAGACCGCCTCTATTGTGTTACGTGCAGCATTCGCGATAGCGAATCCCTCTGCTCCCTAAAGTGACTCGCGTGAGTTGATTGCGAATTTACTCGACGTTTTTATTACATGTTTAATAATTATTTACACCGATCACCACTATTTCATACAAATTGCAGGTCGGCTCGGATTTTTAATCGGTGCGGTAAGATTTCGATCTCTTCCTACAATTCGGTAATCGAGCCTTGAGCAACTACTGTAAAATAAAATCTCGATTTGCCTTATTTTTCAAATTAAAAAGAAATTTTAAAGAAATAAATTCAACTTATAACGTTATGTGTAATATTTGACAACAATGTAAAAATAAAATATCATTTTTAACAAGTCGTTCCTCAATTATTATGAAACAGAAAAACATTGTCAATTACAAGCCCGACGTACTTCAATTTACTAATAAAAGGGATGACGAGTTTCTTCCTCATAAAAGAAATCAAAAAAGTAAAAGACATTAAAAAAAAAGAAGATACATGTGACGTCGTGCGTGACACTCGAGTAAACAAATGAAAAGCTGGTCACCTACCGTTTTATTTCACCGACGCAATGGTTTTATCTTTCGACGCACGGTCAAAGGACGCGAGTCTCCGGGCGACGTGGAATTTCGAGAACGAAAGGATTCGAGAGTGACACTATTCCTCGGTGAACCAATCAGCGGTTTATGCCACGTCGCGCTGTGTTTCTCTATGGATCGTCGATTCGGGTCCCAAAATTCTTCGGATTTGGGATTTTCTTTTTTTTTTGCGTTTTTGAGGCATAAATCGGGCATCGTGCGTTTATGCGTTTACGTCTCTCTAATCGTTATAATGTAATATTTAATAATTAGTACAGAGAGATGTTATTTATATTTATAATATAATATTTATATATAATATATATATATATATATATAATATCACTAGGGTACATATGTACAGGGGCTGCAAATAGTAGGAGGTGCTCTTATATTGCAATATCGTTCTCTGTTTTGTTCCTTTAAGACTTAACGTACACAGGTAGAACGTAGACTCACACGGGACACAGGTACGCGCTCGTAGACTCTTACCCTTTTTTTCTAGTTCTCTTTCTCTCTCTCTCTCATACATTCATTTTCTCCTCATCGCATTTATTCTCGCGTCTCATCTAATTTACATCAACGCGCGATCGGCGCAGCATTCATCGAGAGTCCAACGCATTCCGCCTCGCGGTCCTAACAGAGATCCCACACACTCCTAATACGCGCGCGATATCATACTCTGACGTAGGTTTATTTACAGATACAGGAAACACGCGGGACTCCTTGTTCAGTCCCGAAAGCACGAAGGGCGCCGCACTCGCTTGCGAGAACGACTTTTCGAGCCGCGGCGCCACTCCGGAAATAAAATTGCACTTTGTAGTATAAGAGTCTGGCCTTCCTCACACTCATCCGGTACGGCCAGGACCCCCGAATAGGACGAGGAAGAGAGAGGGAGAAAAGAATGCCGAGAAGCGAACGTTCCCGCCGCTACGACGGCTCCGACGTGGAGTCCGGCTCCCTCTCGTCGGCAGAAAGGTCCTCCGGATCGGCGCCGGATTCGTCGGCGCAATCCTCGTTCTCGTCTTCGTCAGGGTCATCGTCCTTGGTGCTGCTCACAGGTTCGTTCTCCTGTCACGGACTCCCTCCGCCGGCGTCGTCGCCCCGATGTCCGGGCGTCAGACTCGGACTTCTCCTTCTCTTCTCCTGCAAGCCGTTCACCATGTTCTCGATGGATTTGAGCTCACCGGCGGAGCTGGGCGTCGTTGAGATGAGGGCACCACCACCAGTGGGTGTCGGCGAATCGGTCGGCGGCCTCGGCGGCGGTGATCTTGGACTTAGGGTTCTGCTACCGGGGGTCACGGTCTCGAATGCTGAGCCATGCGAGGGCGCCGGGAGGGTATAGGGCGCGAATCTGTGTCCCTTGAGCTGATGCAGGGGACTCGCCAGGGGATGAGGATAGTGTGCAAAGAGGGGATGCTGGGCCGCCAAGGCCAGCTGGGCGTTAAACAGCATACCGGGGGTGACACCGCCGTGGAGTCCAAGAGGAGTGGGTGGTATCAGGGGACCGGGACCGGGATAGAGTCCCGGCACTGGCGGATACAGATACGGCAAAAGAGGCGGATGAAGCGGTGGTCCGACCGAGACATCCGGCCGTGGACCTTCGGAGCCCGTTGGGCCTGGCCCGCCACCGCTCTCGGACCCGGACGATTCGCTACCCTCGCCTCGTTCGCTCGTTCGATCGTCTCTCTCGCGTGAGTGCTCTCGTTCTCGATGGTGATGGGCTGGGTGCGGTGTATCGGGTCCAACCACATCCAGCAGCTTGTCCTCGTCGTCCATGAGGTCGGTGGCGGAATTGGACGAACGCCGCTTGTCCGGAGATGCTGGTCCACCCGCTGTCAAACGGGAACCGCCGCCCGATACTGTCAATAGCGCCTGCCTTCTGCAACAACGACGCGGAGTTAGCAATCTTGTGAGGTTCGCGTGTTACGTTTGTTTGCCGCTCTTAATTGCTTCCCCCGAGAAAGCTTCTCCCGTGAAAAATAAGTTGTACGTTAAGACAAATAAACTCGACATTGTCGCAACGCGGTGTTACAAAGAAACTCGTGTTGCCTTTGTGTTTCCAGATTGATTATTGATTTATGGAAAGGCGTGGTTAGCGAGTTATCAATCGTTAGCAGAGCTACACGGCCACCGGATAAATGGGTTCCGCCTATTTCGATATGATTTATCGACGTTCGCAAGCTGACAATCTTTCGAGACGCGCGAATACCTATTGATTACGGCACACTGTAATTGGTTCTGAGAATATAACGAGAGGGTCGGTGATAAAGTTACTTCCTTTCTTGGCAGTGGCAATTTCGACGCTAAATCGTTCACCCTGGATTTCGATGTAGTTTTGCTAGCATATCCTATGCGTATGTCTCAATCGAAAAATTGCGAGGACGACAAGCGGGTAAAAGGATTCTCATTCGGAAGATTGCGAGAACCAATCGGCGATTTCTAGCTATATACATATATTAGCGCGATATCTCAAGGATGTCCTCGATGTGTGCTAATTGATTTATTGGCGAATTGATATTCAGCATAAAAAAGAACTGAAATTGCAAATAGACTAATTGTGAGTCGCGATAACGTTTATTCTGAAAAAAATTGCGTCAAACTGTTGCAATCATATAAAGAAGTATAACAAAGTCAGAATAGTAATTGATGGTATACATAAATAATATATGTATATCGATATTAATTAATAATAAGTAGAAAGAAGGACTATTAGTGAGAGTCAAACGCGGTTCTCATGCATAAAATAAAACGATTAACACGATTAATTATGATCCAAATTATGTATCTTTAATAAAAACTGTGATGTTTTATTTAATTCTCACTAGCTCTTCTTTCTAATTATTGTTTTTTAAATTCGACAGTCCTATTATATTTTTTTATCAAAATATTCATCGTTCACCAAACTATAATATTATAATTTCAATTTGTAATATGAAACACAGATGCGATGCAGGTTCTATTAAAAACGAACACGCGCATATTTATAAATATTGTGTGATTTCTTTGAATTATTTTCACGCAGAATGTGCGTAAATGTTATCTCAATCGCGCACGATTAGTTGAATGAGAACCTATAAAAATCTTACAGCAGCGCCGATATTCACGCGAGTGAAATATCGTGGACTCGACAACGACACGCATCGGTATTGGGCCATTGCGCGTGCGAGTAGGCGATCAATGCGATCGCGATTCCGGGAGACAGAGAGGTATTCATCGTGTCGAAGAAAATCAAAAGGTCCCGCGCTTCGCTCGTCCGCGCGGTGATAATTCACGCGGAGCAAAGTCCAGCGCGTCGCGTCGGCGCGATGCAATAAACGAAGCCCAGGGATTTATGTGAGCGTCGGTAGCTGTATTGCCTCGAGGCGCGGCCGTGGTATTAGATTAATTATCTTAATTGCGCCTTCAACGCCTTTCCTATGCGGCAAGTGTCTAGCGTTCGCTCGCTCGCTCGCTCGCGCGTGCTTTGCCTTCACGTGCGCTTAACTTTATGCCACTCGCGGCTATTTGCACTTATAAACAGACGAGCGAGAGCTCGTGTGGTGCAATTCGCGCCTCTGTGTGCGTGCGTACTTACAAGCGGCTCGTATAAATGAGCGGCGTGTCGATAGAACCCTCAAGATATACGCGCGCGGCACGATTACATTGCGCGACGCAGAGAACGCTTTTTTTTCTGTAAATCGCGAGCTCATAGGTGTGCGGAATCGAGAGTGATTTATCGCGCTGACGTCTGGCCGCCTGCACACCCGAGTCGGAGTCACAATCATTTTTCATCGATGCTACAGCGATACCGTATCGATTCACGACACACTGATCTATTCGCTGACTCCCTAGGGCAACGTGTTTCTTTCGCCCGATCTTCGCGAAGCTCGCGTAATCTTGGCACGATTTATCGAACTGCGTTACACGGGTAGCCTTTTACATAAGAGAAATCGAGCGTGTCACGCGGATTTAATGATTTCTGATTAATTTACGTTAATGAATTCTTTTATTCGTTTAACTTGTTTCTACAATTAATTAAAATACAGAAGCGAGGAAAGGAAAGGATTTGTGTCAATCGGTGTTTAGTACTAAGCGACATTGGTGCAACCAATCTCGATGAGCGCGAATAAAATTGAACGATTCTCTCAACGTCCGCGTCGTTGAACAATCTTTCCGAACGTCCCCGAATATCCTAAGAAAGGAGAGGAGATAATATTCGAGGAAAAGAGGATGGATGGTAACCCTACACTGTTAGAAATGTAACCATGAGCTTCCTTTACATGTAAATGAAGCTGGTGGTTATGAACGAAATTAAAAGTAATGAATGATTCAACTGAAAATTAAGTTACAGTAGTTACTTAAATGTAATGAACGTGTACATTAAATTTATGAAATTTAATGTACTTTTAATAAAATTTTATTTTTACTTATAATAAAAGTACATTAAATTTCATAAATTTTCATGAAAAATACATTAAATTTTATGTACATGTACATAAATATACTTTTTAGTTACAAATACATTAAATTTAATGTAATGTCATGAAATTAAATTCAAATTAAATTCAATTATGTAACTTAAAAGTTAATGAAATTTAAGAACATTTCTAACAGTGTACTTGTGAAGACGGATGGTAACCCTACCAGTCCAGGACGAAGAGGGATGTATACACGTACCTTGCTCGAAAGTTCTATACCGAGTGCACGGATTATTGATTTGGCGTACTCTCGCACTTACGTATAGAAACCACAGAGAGCCTGTACACCCTTTCGAGTCTGCAACGAGTGCATGTCACGGATGCATCCGCACGAGAAGGAGCGTGCGCGAAGCGGATACACCTCGTTCGAGCGAGCGAGCGAGCGAGCGAGCAAGAGCGCACGTTTCTGTGTTGGTGAACTGATCGCATTACATGGCATTAAGACACCGGTAAGCCTCTCGTTGTGCGAACGGCTATAGCCAAGACTTACACGAGGTTTAGGTTTGTTCTGCCTGCACGAGACGATGCATTAGATTTGTCCCACCCCCTTGCCTTTCCCCGGCCCGTCATTCGACTCGATTGTCGACGGTAACGTACCATCGAGTTTCCTTTGCGTGATTAGGAGCGTTCCAGGAAATTTTGTTCGAGCCCGTTGAAAGGATCCGTGTGCGCCAATTAATTCTGTATTAGGTTGCGGAATCGAGTATTTCGATTTGGTGCGATTATGGGAGGAATTGCAGAGGTCTCGGAAAGCTTATAGATTCGTTGTCTAAAAGAACGACTTCGTGGGAATGATAAACCTTCCCTTCACCAACATATCTTCGCAAATAGATTACCGTTGTGATCGAGTGAACTAGCAAATGACAGTTTGGCATAAACGAAAATAGAGAAAAGAAATTGCAAGATTGTACGATAAGAAATACGATTGTTGATTAGATCGCAAATAAGGAGATACTTCAACTGTTAGTTGTATGTCATCCGTAATGTTTTTAACCCTTACCATACCATCTACAATTTGGTGCCTCATCCATACTATCAAGGGTCACTCCAAATCTCTTCGTCTTTTCACCTCTTCAAAATAATAAAAAAAATCTCTAAAAATTCACCAACATACTTTCAACTTCCTAGAATAAATATTGACTCTTTATTTTGGAAAATAATAAAATGTAGTATAATTTATAATTACCGAAAGATTCAAAGAAACTTGCACGAACAGGAATCGCTCGGTCACTAGTTACCCATATTAGTACGGTAAGGGTTAATATTATCCAGATATAACACACAAGATCAATAAAAATCGGGGATAAAGCCTAGGGTTAGTTTGGCTGTAATTATATGTATCTAATAAGAACGCTTTGTTGTAATATCGGAGGAACGCATAGGAATCCCAATGATTTCTGCTCTACGGATAATTAACTGCAAAAGTTAAGTAAAACTCGACGGCTTCATCCAGATTTCTCGGCGCGCCTTGATTTGCTCATTAATCAGAAGACGTTTGCGATATGTAAGCGAGTACCAATCGCGAAAATTAACCCCGGAGACAATGGTTAACGCAACGGCTATTAATTTAATATCTGCGCTAGGAAATATACATATATTACTCGTGTTGTACTGCACGTATTAACGCACGATCGTGGGAGTTTCACGAGCGAACGGGTTAATCCGCGCACCACGCATATCGCTAAATACGATCTTTCCGCGGTGTGTATGATGATAAATGACGTGACAACTCGCCGCACTGGAGCGGTTCCTTCCTTCTTTTTCTCCCTTCTTTTTTTCTTTTTTCCTTTTTAAAGCGGCGTAGCGAATCAACTCGTCACGCTCGAGTGGCGTTACATCTCGTGACGAAACGCCGCGTCGCGCGTTGTTAAAAAATTAACGAAACAATGCGTCGGCTGTCAGTGTCGTTTAACTCTATCGCGTATCGAGTGTAGTGATTTTATTTGAGTATAGTCACGCAGTTACTTTACATTTCTCTATACTAATCGGGGGATATTTCGCCTAAATTATCATGTAGCGATTAAATTCCGATAAGAGAGGCTGTCTTAGTTACATATATATTCACGGTTACATGGCATCTTCCCTCTTCTTCTAGTTTACTTATTTTTTCTTAGCTCTCAATTAACTCTCCACAGACTATCTTGAATTTTATCACTTAGGCCCAGTTTCACAACTCATGGTTAACTCTTAACCGAGGTTCAACTTATTTATGATCTTTTTCCAATTTTGGAATGAAAATAGATAATGAATAAGTTGAACCTCGGTTAAGAGTTAACCGTCAGCTGTGAAATCTTAGACCACTTGGATCGCTGAGGGACGATTGTATTTTTCAAAGGGCTTTTAAAAATCTGAGAAAATTCTAGTGCACTCCCATACAGCACAGACTTCCAAGAAATGCGAGGGGGTGACCACTTAATGTAATCGTGGGACAGAATCCTCGAAATCATTATAAAATCTCTATGTATAATCCGATAATTACATATGCAACCACGAGAAATCATTATATAATATTAAATAAAATCGTATATTTTACCAAATTAGTTCATAGTAGTGAAAAAAATTATTTGTCATCAATCAAATGAAATCGTGTAATCTATGGAACAATATTTCAGCTAGTGGTTACCCCTTCGAAGAAATGTCCTAAAGTTCTAAGAACGATTCTAGGACATTCCCTGGATAAAGTATGCTGTGTGAGCTCTTTCAAGCCCTATTTATAGGAATATAATTGTATAGAATTATATGACCTGAAACATTTTTTTACTCTTTTTGTTGAAATTTGAAGCAGAAATAATTTAAAGCCGAAAAAATCGTCTAGGTCTTCAAATCTCCATGTGGGTTTGCGGAAAATTTATAATCCAATTCTATGCAACCAAAGATATAAAAAAAAATAACCCTATGGGATCGAGGAAAGAGATTTCGCGCTTACATTAGAAGATCGACCGAAGCTCTCGAAGCGCAGTCTTCGTACAGCCACAAAACGATCTGTAGGGCCAATATAAAATTCAAAGCCGTCAAGAGTGGCACCCTCCACGTTAACGATAGCGCCGCCCCTGAGCATCAGTATGCTAATCCGATGATTGGCTATGTTCCAACCCCGATCCCTCTCTCACTGTGCCACTCTCTTTCTCTCGCGGTCTCTTTCTGTTGGTGTTTCCCTGCTCGTGCCCTGTCTCTTTCTCTCTTTCCGGTTTCCCTGTGGCTTCCTGATGGCATCCAACCACCCTTAACCGAAACCATAAGCCAAAACTAACCCTTATTCTAATTAGGCGGTGCCGCGGCGACGCGCCCCCTGCTTTGCATATTTTCTCGATTAACCTGGCCCTTTCTTTATCCGCTCGACGTCGCAGACTGCCGCAATTTTCCGAAAATTTTCTGACCCGCGGCTTGCATCGTTCTTTTTTTTTGTCTTCTCGCGTAATATACCTAATGCGTTTCTTGATATGAGATATGCTGACATCATAGACAGAATATTCTGTTTCGTTAAAAAAATTATAAGGGTTGTTTAATGACATAACAAGAATTAGGAACAGCTTAAATTGTTATGCATAGCGACTTGATTTCATCAAAATCTACTCGAGTTTTCACCCCGCGACCTATTGGATCGAAATGAGTTTCCATAGCAGCCTGGTCCACGGCAACGACATAGCATCCCCCTCCGAGGGATTGTTCGCTGACATAAGCTCATAAACCCGCAATATTGAATATAAATGGACGGCACTGCCGACGATGCGGAGTGCAAATGAGCCCTGTGAAACCAACCCTTAGCTCAGGGGGTGACCCTAAGGTCGGCATAATAGCGTCGATCGAGGGGAAGCTCGAAAGGTCTACGATCAATTAGGTCGACCCCGAAGACAGATTCGCGCTCTTTGCTCGTCACAAAACGCGATTCAAAGAGAGGGTATGTCTGCTTTGCATTTAGGGTAGTTTTTAATCCGTTGTACATTAACGTAGATTCCGAGTCGTGCGATTTTTATCATAGGATGCTCGCGAAAGATACTTAGCTTACTAATTTTTTTTAACTCTTTCCTGGTTATAGATATTATATGATTTTCATAAATTTTTATAAATAAATCTCATGAAAATGTTACAGAGCGAACTAAATAACTCTTTTAGAAACACATATACATATATAGAAAAATATTTGTATATTTTGGCGTTTTAATTTCGTAAAAGTTTGTTTTAATTCCAGGAAAGTGTTAAAAAATATACCGCGTTTATATAGTGCAGTTTTGAAAGCGATACTCACTTTTTCTCGCGCTTCCCCGCACCAGTATCTCGAAATCCTTTCGCAAAGGGGTTGTTATCGATTTTCAGTTGGGTAATCTGCAAACAAAATAAATATATTTGAACATGGATTAAAAACAAGTTTGTAAATTAAACAATCTTCCGTTATAAATCGGATTTAATAGACCTGTAGACTCTTGAGTTAATATACTTTTTCGCTTTACTTCTTATACCGAGAAGGCGCGATAATTAAGATAGGAGTGTATTAGCCGAGTATATAGCCGACCTACCAAAAATCTATACAAGGCCCGGTCTCTTCTTATGTCCACGTGCGTGTAAGCAATTCATTCACTGAAAATAATGCGTACCGAGAAGATGTTATTCCACGAAATGATTCTCGCATCCATGACTTTATCAAGGCACAAGAACGCGGAGAAATATTAATTAACAGAAGACCAGAAACCAAAACGGCCCACTCCGTCAGATCGTAACGCGAGATTATTCCTTTCTAACGAATTCTCGCCGCCGCGTGTGAGCTTTACATTTCCTTTGCGATAAAATGATGAATTTTTGACATATAAAAAAACGGATTATAATTCTGCGCTTAGTCTATAGCATTTAGACATTAGAAAGTAATCAAGTCTACGTTTTTCAATTTCCCTGAAAAATTGCATTTTAATTTTGTAAATTCACTAGTGGCTCGCAAATTACAAACGTAAAATATAAAGAGCATTCAGCCACGCGCAAGGTGTTTTTTGCGAATGTTATATATTTAAAATTCTTACGTTACAGATACAAATTATAGACGTTTCGGCCTATATCAGATGATCGTTTATTTATTTCAATTCTTTTAATCTTATGACTGCGAACTATTTTTATATTATTTATATTGTGTACTGAAGATGGCCTGATATAGACCAAAACGTCTATGATTTGCATCTGTAAGAATTTTAAATATATAACATTCGCAAAAAACACTTTACGCGTGACTGAATGCTCTTTATATTTTATGTTTGCATTTTAATGTTCCGAAATTAATTTAACGAAAAATCTCTTTTACGTACGGATGTGTTTCAGTAATTCAGAGGTCGCTTACCTTTTCATTTTGATAGGCCGTCACGGCGATGAATTCCGTCTCCTTAAAAACATAACTCCTGAATGTCGAATACGGAAGTTTCAAGATATCATTGGCTCGCACGAGGTGAAACCTCGGCTGATACTTGTGCATCGAGTTCAGTATCGTCTGCAATAAGAAAGGGATCATACATTGGGACAGATTGTTTTAGGTTAGCTTTGGCAAAGAACGTTTGCAATTATTTCGCTTATACTGTCAGACCAATTACTCGATGATGCTATCAATTACATATGCGATGGATAATTTTAGAGTCAAGTCAAGACAAGAGAAAATGCAACACGAATCGAGTATTTCTCTACACTTTTTCAAATGTCGAATTTTATACGAAGTGGAATTCTTTTCGTTCCCATGAACAATGTTCGAAACGTTCTATTTAGCACATAACAAGTCGCGGAAGTCTCAGAAGTCTCGTGATTAGCCATCGCGAGCGTGGTCTGAAAGTGATCTACGGGCTACGGCACGGCGCAAAATTAAGAAACAAAAGTAGCGCGAGACACGAGAGAGCGATTTTGCACGAAGAAAAATATAGAGATACGTCAGATTAAAAAAGTGTCAAGAAGGTGTTGCCGTTAATCACACAATCAGAGAGCGTGCGTCGGCACGTTACTCTTTCTCTCAGGTTAATTAATCTTCGTGCAAGTATTTCATAAAGTTCCGTGCGGGCCAAGAAAGCATGAGCTTGGTAAAGCGGCTATTACACTGATGCATCATGCCGAGCTGATCGATACAAAGTCTGCAAATGCAATCGAGCTTTCCGAGCGAGCTTTTATCGCCGCTACAACGATGACAATCGCGGTTACATCTTTACGTTGAAATTTGAAAACATGATTATTTGTTGAAGATATTTTATCAGTCCCCTTATAATTGATTTTATGAAATAGTTATATTTATAACAAAATAATACGTATTTATCTACAATATTTATGTATATATATATATATATAAAATATTTATATACATACGTTCCCATCGCGCCTATCTCCAAATTACTGTTCATATAAATAATTTGTTAAATTGTCGAAACGACAAACTTACCGATTACGATAATTTATCGACCTCATCCTGCGATTTAAAAAAAGCTTGCGTTACATGGCGTACGTCCATCGATCTTGTTAAACGGACGCGAATATGCACGTGCGAGTCGTTCGCGAGACTCACGTCGCGTCCGGAGCAAATTTGCCTGTGCTCGCGTTGCTTTTATTATACGATCCGAAAGGCTGTTCAGAATATTCCGACACGCAAAACGAAAAGGGCAAACTCGCGTAGCTCGCGCACGCGTCCGTGACATGCGTAAAGGGAGAGAGAGAGAAGGGAGGGGGGGGGAGAGATTAATACGTGAACGGTAACGAGCAAATTATCGTGCGCGACGTGAACGCGGATCGATAACCGGAAGCCGCGTGTGTCATCACTCGATTCCGCCGTCGAATTCACAAAGATGGATTCTCGCATTTGTAACAGATCAATTCCGATCCGTATCCACCAGGTATCGACGACGTCGGTCTCGATCGTCATCCGCATAATTTATATGCTAGTTATTCAGCACATACGTACATAGTGATCGATAGGCTCCGAAACATGGCCGGCCGTATTCTGGATATCGATCGTTCTGTCGGGCACAATCGAATTCACTTATTAATTCAATTCGGAATCCGCAGTCTTGCTGTCATTTAAAATGGCTAAATAAAATGTATCGATGCCGCCGCGCTTATCATCCGCATATCGTGATTATATCGTACAGAAGAAGCAAGATTAATTTTAAGCGTTCAAAACCGAATCATTCACCACCGTACAGAGAATCTTCATGCTTGTCAAAAGAAATATTTATTATTCGAGTTCGTTATTGTTAATTGTGGCTTGCGCATTCTTAAATCGGACCCGATGGCTTGGGGCAAACAATAAAATATTGTACATTATTTTTATGAATTTCTTAAAAAGATATGGAATAAGATGGTACTTCGATCCAAGCTTTTTGCCGGTGAACAATATTATTAAAGTATTAATGCCGAGTTAGTCTAGAAACCTAAACAGGCATGCCAACAATCATTCGCGGAAGCCTTACATTTTTGCAGCATTCTGTAATTAACTGTGAACGCCAAATCATTATGTAATAGTACGAAAGGTATAATAAATATCGCTTTTGAAGATATATATTATCAGTATATACTGTACTGTTTTTTTAATCTTCTCTAAATTTTATTTTTAAAAACGTTTGAAATTGTCATAAATTTAGAGAAGATTAAAATACAGTACAATATATACTGATATATCTTCAAAAGCAATATTTATTATATCTTTCGTATTATTATATATATAAGTCTGTTTAGGTTTCTAGACTAACTCGGCGTTAATACTTTAATTTGATAATATTGTAAATTTCACAATATCGGCAAAAAACTTGAATTGTGTCGGCAGAATGAGTGAGTTTTCAACAAGGGAAGAAAACAATCAGAAAACGCGATTTAAAAAATACATCTGATTCCAATTTCAACGCCAGGCTGACATAGTTTTCCGTTTTCACTTTTTTCTATATTCTTTTATGATTTCGTCATATATTCGCGTCGACTGTATTTTCCTTCTTTTTATGCAAATACCGCTCGCAGCATCTCGCTTCACGACATGAACGGCAACTAACAAAATTGCCGAGAACATTCTTGTCATCGACAAAGAACGAATGAACGCATGTACGTAGGTATCCTCGTTGGCTGATAAATCTGTTTATGCGTCAAATGCTTTACTCACGTAAGCCGGGTAATTATCGTACGTTTGAAGAGAGAACTTTCGCAGTTGGAAAACGTTTGAAAAGTGGATACGAATGTAACATGTCTTTTAACGAATCACAAATTGCCGTCGATAAACGGGAGAGCAAGTGGGCATGGCTAAGAATCATGACTCTTCAAAGTAGGGGGCAAATTACCCCAGGAAAGTTTCCGATGCTGAGGGAAGTTCTTAATAGCGTTAAGTTGAAATTCTCGAAACTGCTTCTTGGCAATATATTGCAGCATTATATTGATATGACCATGTAGGTAAGGGAAAAAACATTTATTTCATGAAAATTGATTTCATATGTTAGAGAAGATTTTTAATATAAGAATATCATCCAAGATGAAAATCTGTCAATCCTGTTCGTAAAAAGTTAAAAATTTACTGAAACTAAAATTACCTGAGAAATAAAGCTTTTATATCATAATTTGTGATCAAATTCTAACGATTAATATTACATAATTCGTGTATTTTTATCGAAATTCTGTCATTCTTCTGAATTTGATCTCTAAATTAATTGACTTCGCGATGATAAGACAGAAGAATTAAAAAGTTCAGAAAAACTGCGGAATATTCGGGAATAACTGCAGCGATTATTCGTGCAAACGAAAGTTTGCATTCAACTGTGTTGGTACATACGTTGGACGTGTATATACATAGAGGAAAAAACAGAAATCGTCAACAGACATCTGGATGGAAAGAGCGGAAGAGGGGAAGAGGGACGCAGAGGCCAAAGGTCCACCGCGTCGATAATCACTGGAGTGTGTAGAGACTTGAGTGAAGAGACTGATCGTAACGTACAATCTGTAGCGAGAAATTCACGTTTGCTACATCCACATGCAGTAACAAATAAAATTCGCCGACACGCCGTCGTGCGTGTAAATTAGTACGGCACACGTGGAGAGAGAGCGGAGAGAGAGAGAGCCCTCGCTCATTTCTGCACGGACGCCATTATGCGCGGCGTGGTACAAAGGGGAAATAATTAGCGCTGGCCGAGTGATAAGCCGGCAATCTAGGCGTTTGTCATTAGCCTATCAAAGCAGAATGTTTCTTTTTATCTTTTTTTTTCTCTTTCTCTCGCCACTGTTACCGGCACTACCGGCATTGGTCTCCCTTCCGGTCCCCTCGCGCGACGCCCTGGCGGTCCCCTCGTCGTCACTATCTCGTTTCTCGTGGACCTTCGGCCTCGACACGCCTCTGGCGCCGTGGAAAATATGTGCGAACGCCGATCGGAGCAATTAGTATTTCTCCGGACTCTAATCTGGACTCACTCGAGCGCGGCGAATGCGCGTCTTTCGCGGTACATTCTGCTCGTAGAATATGTCGGCAAAAGAGGGATAAAAAGGAAAGACGCGGTAGCAGGAGGACACGGTTCACGAGAGAAGAAAGGGGAGGAGGCCAGTATCGCGAGACAAGCCTAGAGAGAAAGAGAAAGGGCGAGGGGGGAGAAAAGAGAAAAGAGGGAATAGAAGATGGTCGGAGGATGGAAAGTAAGTGGTAGGATCTGAGGAGCGGTCCGGTGTGTATATCGTGCCGCGTGAATTGACCAGCCAGATAAAACCACACGACGCGACGCGACGCGGCGGACGAATGGACGGTGGGACGGGCAGGGGGAGAAAGCAGCACTGGGACGGTAGGGGAGGAAAGTGAGAGAATATCTTGGCCGACACAGAAGCCGACGCTGCTAATGACTCTGTCCGCGGTAATCTCCGGGTGTTATCTGTCCTGGCTACCTGGGGCCCACCTACTTCGAATCACGAACCTGTACACGCTGCTCTGCCGCCACCACGTCCCTCTTTCTCGCCACGTCTCTCCTTCTCCCGCGCGCTCCTCTCCTTTCCCCCTCGCCCCGTTTGCTCATCCTTGTTCGCCATCAGATGTTCGAATCACGGAATCCGAACATCTCTTTAGGCGTGCCGCTTTTTTGAGACCCAACGTGCGATACATGTATCTGTATCTTTAAAATGTATGGATCAATAAAAAAGTTTAAGCAACTTATAGGCCGATTTATTCTGGTTTCAAATTTTCATGTAAATAGTAGTAATATTTAATGCAAGTTATAAACGCAAAATAAAGGCAGAAAGATCGTTAGAAGGATAGAATAATTTAGCCTTCGACATTTGCATTGGTCAACCCGAGAAGATGAAAGAGCGCAACAAAACCTTGCCATTGCTGTCCTCGATGTTTGGCCAACTGATCGTACAGAAGAGCAAACAAATCTCTTGGGCTTGAAAGGGACTACTTCAGTGAGAGGCTAAAAATAAGGAGTCTACAATCAAAGTATTGACAATGATACTGCAAAATTTTTTCGTCGCGGTGGGGAAGTAAAGGTGAAGAGTAGAATGTGC